TTTCCACTCAATCCAGGTCCTTGTCCTGGGGTTCCCTTCCAGAGGAGTTGGTGGTGGTGGCTAGGCACCATCTGGTTCTGGTCTCAGAGTGGTCTATTGTGGTTTTTAAAGTAAAGACATAGATAGTTCTCAGTATATTTGTTTTCCTTAGCCAGCGATAACACAAAGACTTTTAGTCAATTCACATTTTATAAAGTCAGGTTTTGCTGATACATTTATATTAGTTAAAGTCCAACCACTGGTAATAATGAAACTGATTGAAAATATGAAATTGATTCTTGTTTTGTTGTGTTGTTTTAAATGTTAAATGCTTAACTTTGCTATAATTTTTTTTTTTTTTTTTTTTGTTTGAAGATATAAGAATAAATTCTTAATAGTAACTGGTGTAATTTTCACAATTTCCAGCAATTTCTAGAAGACATTAAAATAATCAGAAGTTCTCATGAGTTATTTCAGTTTGGACTTTGAGTCAATTCAAGACACTTCTATTTTGTAACTTTGATTTAATACCATATAGCTTACACTTAACTTAAGGATCTCCCATAAACACATCTTTAAATGCTGTGTTTAGTGTGGACAATAAAAGCCATTGTTTTTTAAAGTTCAGAATGGAAAAAGAAATGAAATGGATGTATGTGTTAATTCTAAATATATGAGGTTATGTAAAAAAATGGTGCTACTTGAGTTTCAGTTCATATATACTCAAATTTATTCCAAACAAAATGTGTTGACTGCAAAAAAAAAACCCTCTCTCAATTATACGCCTGTCTTAGTCTCATTAGGCTGCCTTCAAAGCAGATCCACACAAGAAAATGGCTTCTAAGGTGGTCTTCTAGCCCCGTTTAATTCAATGTAGAAAAGTCAGCTCAGTAGAATATAGGGGTAATTTTTTGGAACTCCAAAGGGGTAATCTTGATATATTTTTCTTAAAGGACACAATAAAATTATTGGGGCTTATTGTGAAACAATTTCAAGAAATTTGCATTGGCGAGAAAAAGGCCAGGAAAGATGTTCCC